TAATTTATAAATACATTTGGGGTTATAAATTATAAATGTACTGTCTCCTGTCAACATTGTATACTTCTATTTGATGATTTCTGTGTCAAACATTATATGGATTATAGGGAAATGTTTCCAAGTATTTTCTGTATTAACTGTGAATGAATAGAACAAAATAAATTGCTTGTGATGGAAAAAAAAAGAAAAAAGAAAAAGAAAAAAAAAAGAATTGAAGGTGAGAAAATACTGTATTCAGATATAAATAATGAAATAAATGAACACAACCACAACTTTCAAGGTGAACTGAGAAAGAACCAGTCATGCCCAACACAGTAAACCAGAAAACCACTAATATTAATAGGAAAGAAAGAAGAAAAAGAAAAAACAAGCAATATTAGAACCAGTGAGGAAAACAGTGAAACAATTTATAGAATTCAGAAAATGTTTCTAAAAAATAAATGTAAATTGTTTTAACTTTTTTCTTACAAGCTAGAGACTAGCTGATTGATCAAAAACTAAACACAGCTATTTGTTCTTTCCAAAGACACATCTCACGGGAAAAGGTACACAGGCTGAAGATGAAAGAATGGAAAATATGCACCTAGTAAATGAGATCTGGAAACAACTAGGAATAGCTAATGTATATTTTAGGATTAATTAGAAGAGATAAATAGGTTCATCACTTGTTAGTAAAAAGAAAAATCACTAAAGAAGATGCAATTTTTATAGCCAGTCATGGTGGTGAATGCCTTTAATCACAATATGTAAGTGACAGAGGCAGGCAGATTTCTCTGAGTTTGAGGATAGTCTTTTCTACCTAGTGAGTTCTAGGCAAGGACAGGGCCACACAGTGAGATTCTGCCTCAAAACTGATTGTAAATATATATGTCTTGAATCACAGTACACATAATTTCATAAGAACAAACATTATTGGGCATAAAAAGACAGAAAGACCCAGATATAATAACAGTGAGTGACACCAATACCCATTGTTATATATCATTTAGATTAACAAAAAAGAAGTCAAAGAAACTTCAGAATTAAGTCTCCCCATATATCAAATGGAAATTATAGATATATCTACATAATATTTTACCCAACATGTGTAGACTATACATTCTTTTTAGCAGCCTATGGAATTTTCTCTAAAATCAAGTTATGTTACAAAAAAAGTCTTAACAAATACAAAAACAAGCTCAGAGTAATTTCTGCCGTCAGATCATAATGTAATAAAAAACCTAAAAATCAATAGCAAGAGAAGCTATAGAAACATAAAATTAAACAATAGATTCCTCAGTAGTCATTGGGTTATTGAAAAAATCAGAGAGGAAATTGAAAAATCCCTAGCATCAAAACCAAATGGAAAGAAAACTTACCAGAATGTTAGGGATACAGCAAAGGTAGTTCTAAGATGGATTTTCTAGCTAATCTGAAACTTGAAAAAGAGGAAAGTTGTAGTCTCACGGCTCTGCTCCTTAGAACTGGCATCACTGTAGGGAAGGAAAGCTGTTCCAGGCCTACTCAGTCATAAACAGGCAACGACTCACCTCCTGACTGATGCAGAATTGACTAACTGAGTACTTACATAAAAACAGAAACAAAACTGAACTTAAGGATGTTCCTCAACCAAAAATGAACTATAGACCAAATTACATGACCATTTATTTGTATAGCATATAATTTCAGCTTCTCCTCTAGAACATATTGTTTATTACAAGGTCTAGAAACTTTCACTTTCTATACCTTTACATTTTGTAACTTTGTGGAGGCAAACTATGTTACTTACTCATTTCCATAGCAAGGACTGTTATATTATGCCAAGAAAACTCTTCTCTGTCTAGTGGTCTTGCAGTCATTAGAGCACCTGTTGTAATGTCAACATAGAAAAATCTCCCAGGGTCGCTGCTTCTGTCGATGGAGTATCTGCAAAGATATGGATTATATAATTATTTTCACTTGGATAAGCATGAGAAAATAGTACATGAGAGAAATGAATACATACACTGTGTTAAAGGTGGCTCAGTCACCTCTGAGCTGTGAATATGTGGAACACTATAGGTTTCATCATGCTTAAGAGAACCTTTTTTTTTTTTAACTACTTCAAGTATCTTACTTAAAAATGAAATAAGCAGAGTACTGAGTACCTTATGGCAATTTCAATGTACACAGAAATTAATTTATGCTATTTACGGTTAAAGCTGCTCCAAGAGTTTTGGGGTACCCTCAATATCAGTCTCTATTTATATATGTTTGAAAGTCAACTGAATTCTTAAATGCTAACCTGGGACTTGGAAAAGCAGAGTACGGTCATGTGGTTCTGCTCCTTAGAACGGGTATCACTGTTGGAAAGGAAGCCTTTGCTCCAGGCGTTCTCACTCATAAACATGGAATGATCCAACTCCCGACTGACACAGAACTTACTAGCTGAAAGTTCCTCATATAGGATTTTAGCAGGATAGAGCAGGTCTATTTAGGTTGCCAGTTATAAATAAAATTGAGTTTTGTGCATTTATGAGGGATGGCCTGTTGGAAACTATCATATGACCTTCAAAATTTGAAGGGCATTGTAAGCAGGTGTTCCATAAAACAGAGGCCATTTTTTGTTCAGGCCACAAGCCTTATCTGTTGTTTCTACCATGTATGTTCAGTCTGGACCAATGTGCATTTTATGTGGGAAAAAGAGGATAGTTGCAGGCACTTAAGCCAGACAATTTTAACCTCTCCAAAGCAAGAATTACATGACTCATTTTGCTGTTGCTCTGTCTTTTGAGTCTTTAGTGAATTTGGTTATGAATAAGATCTGTAATTCTTGTTCAGTCTGATTTGGCAACCTGGTTCCCTCTATTCACCTGAATTATCTCACCTATTCTCTGTCTTGGGAGATGGAGGTAAGTTCATGCACCAGGATGTTTAAAGTAAGACATTTTGATAATTTGCTGTGACTGAGGACCATCATTGAGGCTATCATATGCTCCTTGGTAAAGGTTAGCAATTTCTTATTTTTATTGAGAAATTATATATTTTAGAATATAGCATAACATTTCTCTCTATATATATATCTTATGGAATTAAAAATCAGACTAATTAATGTACACATCATTTCTCCTATTACTTTTATGGCAAGAGCATCTAGAATCCATTTTCCTACATGTTTGAAATATATAATATATAATTAACTAGTTACCTTCTGTATAATAGATCACCACATCTTCTAGTCTAACTAGAACTTTGTTTCCCTTGACCAAAACATTCCCTTTCTCTGCCCATCAGCATTGCTGGCCTTAGCTTATGATAACCACCATTGTCTTTCTTTTATCAGTTCAACCTTTTAGATTCCACATTTAAATAAGATCACAGGGTATTTGCCTTTCTGTGCCTGGCTTATTTCACACAATATCATGTTCTCGAGATTCATTTGTGTTACTACAAATGATAGAATTTCCTTCTTTTTAAAGGCTGAGTGATATTCTCTTGTGTATGTATAAAGTGCCAGATTAAAAAATCCATTCATCTGTTAACGAGCACTTAGGTTGTTTCCATATCTTGGCTTTGTGAGTAATGTGGCAGTTAACATGGAAATGAAGATGCTTCTTCTACATACTGATTGTAATTCCTTTGGATATATGCCCAGAAATAGGATGGCTGGATCATATGATAGTCCTAGTATTTTGAGTAATCACTACACTGTATTTTAAAATGGCTGTGCTAACTTAGATCCTCACCCACAAGGTACAAAGTTTCCCTGTCGTGAACATTCTTTGCTATTTTTCATCTTTTGGGGAACAGACATTCTAATAGGTGAGATTCATTTCATTGTGGTTTTAAGCTATATTTCCCTGAAGGTTAGTGATGTTGAGCTTCCCTCCCCATTCCCCATACATTTGCAAGGTTCTTATGTATTTTCTTTTGAAAAATTGTTTAGGTACTCTGACATTTCTGAAAATAAGATTATTTGTCCTGACATCAAAATACAATACAAAGCAAAAGTAATCGAAACTGTCATATGTTCATAGAAATAAAGACATTGATCAATGGAATAAGGGTGAAAGCCTAGAAATGTTTATATGTTGGGAGCACAAAGGTCCTTGTGCCCACAGATTTTCAGGGAACCCACGAATATTAGCACCCAGGATTAGTCTTTCAAAGGGATAGATATATAATCTGTTTTTTCCAGAAAGCTGGAAATTTGAGGTGATGAATAGCCTGGTGATCTGCATTATCTTTTGGACCAGGTCTTATCAAACTCCTACAACTAGGACCAGGGGTGGCTAGTAATCTAAATGACCCTTACATCTAGAGGCTCCTCAAGCTCCCACAACTAGAACCAGAAGTGGCTAGCCGCCCAAACTGCTGTGGGATATCTTTCTGTATGCTGTGAATATGTGTTGATCACATTGATTGATAAATAAAGCTGTGTTGGCCTATGACAAGACACGATAGAGCCAGGTGGGAAATCCAAGCAGAGATATTGGAGAAGGGTGGAGTCTGGAAAACGCCAGCCACCCACCCAAGGAGCAACATGCCAGCAGATCAGTAATGCTATGACCATGTTGCAGTATATAGATTAATAGAAATGGGTCAATTTAAGATGTAAGAGCTAGCTAGTAATAAACCTGAGCCATCAACCAAACATAATTAATGTAAGCCTCTGAGTGATTATTTTAAAAATGGCTGCAGGACCAGGGAGGGACAGAAAAGCCTCCTCTACAATATCTGCATGCCCCAGACCAGGACAGATTCTTCCTTAGGCTCTTAATCTAGTACAGGGAGCCTATCTCTAGAACCCATCTTCTTGGAAGAAATGACATGTACCATGAGTCCAGTTTCAATGTAATTATGCCTCCTTGTGAATTGGGGATTATATTACAACAGGAAACTTTTTTTTCTTCAAATTGTACTGTATTTTAAATATGCTGACAATGAACCACCTGGCATCAGACTCCCCAAAGTCTTGATCCAGGTTGAGAAGTCAATCAGAACCAAGTTTTCATTCTCATCTCGTCGTGGTTTGCTTCCTTGCCTGGACACCTTCAGGGTTCCCCTCACATATATCTATGAGCCACTCATTGGATTTTTTTTTTTTTTTTTTGTTAAAGATAACAAGAATACATAATGGTGTGAAAGAATCATCCTTGATGACTGGTATTTTGAAAACTGGCTGTCCACATATAGTTGACCCTTATCTGGCACTTTTTCACAATAATCAGCTCAATAATGAAGCATAGACTTAAGATCAGAAACTAAATCCACTAGAAGAAAATTATGTAACATTGGTCTGGGCCGTGATGTCTTGAATGTAACCCCAAAGGCACAGAAGCAGAAAGAGCAAAACCAAACAAATGAAATGACATTGAATGGAAGATTTTGCATAGCAAAGAAAACAATCACAAAATGAAAGAAAACCCAAACTGGGAAGAAGAATAAGGAGCCAGTGTTCAAAATAAAGATGTAGCTTGTTGTTCAAAGACCAGTAATTATAATAGCTCCTGTGTGGTCACTTTGCTGTACATTTAACATGCAGCTTCTCTTAATGTTCTCATATCTTTGAAAATTTATCCTAATCATCAGGCAAGCAAACAAATTTAGGAAAATTAATACACTTTCAACTAAGATTTAAAAACCATCTGTATGGAGTTATAGAGTTCAAAACTTTAATAAAAATTGACAGAAATGGCAGTCTTTGTCTTAAAGTTGTTGAGATGGAGAAATTGCAATTTTCTTAAGAATTTATTTTTATTTTAAATTGTGTGTGTGTGTGTGTGTGTGTGTGTGTGTGTGTGTGTGTGTGTGTGAGTGTGTATGTGTTTTAGGGGGTGACATGCTTGTGAGTAGGTTTCTGAGGAAGCTAGGAGAAAACATTGGTCTCCCAGAGCTGGGGTTAACAGGCAGTCATGAGCCACCTGATGTGAGTACTGGGAGCTCAACTTGGGTTCTCTTCAAGAGGAATGAGCATTCTTAGCCACTGAAGCTTCTCTCCCCTGAAACTGTAATTTTGATAGTAATAATTTTAAGTGCAGTGTTTTGCACACTGCAGCTTGGTGAGCTGTGAAATGAATATGGTTGATTATGATTAGCATTGAAACAAAATGAAATGGAATGAGATACGTGCATGCCAAATTATCACATGTAGTGAGGGTAAATACTGCTACACGTTAAGCTATGTGTGTCTATCTCTAGATCTGTATGTATATGAAACATTTTACTTCAAATGCATACATTTCTGTAGAGATGCATGATTGCTATTTAGAGAGTAGATTTAAAGAGACAGCAGATGACTAAGAGCCCGAGAAATTGGAGTAACTTCAGTTATGAATTCAGATGGAATAACTTCTGTTATGACTTTCCAAGTCTTAGGGAATTTAAAGAAGACAATTAACCTCTCTGCCTGTGATCCTGTTTAACAAACATCTATTATTTGCTAGACTTTGTTTAAAACATCAAATGTAGTGAGTCACTTATCCTCAAAATAACACCACTGGTACACTTTATTATTATTTCTGTTTTATAGATATGACCATTTGGAGACTTAAGAGGTTAAGTCACTTATCCAAGGTCACACTAGTGGGAATCAAATCTAGAGAATTCAGCGTCAGTGTCTGGCACCTTAGCAACACCTACCAGTGCCTTATTGACATATGGATTGTAGAAGACTAGCCAAGAACACAGCTTTACCTCTTCGAGATTAGGCATGATAAGAAATGGTTAAGTTTTAATAAACAGATCCATGTACTTAAAGATTCATTTAAAATGATCTAGGCTGTGCTGTTTTCTTCTGAGTGTATCTGTGACTTATCTTCAAAGTTTATCAGCTGTTTTAAGAGTTGACTTCTTTTTTAGGAACTAGAAGTACTGGCTGGCTAATGATACTGTAATCTTTCAGCTCTGAGACAAGAGAAAAGCCCCACATTTGGTCCACAGAGTAC